GGAGAATTGGATAATAGGAAAGATGGTGGGGATAAGTTAGGAAGTAGGGGTCTTGGTAAAGGAGATGAAAATGAAAAAAGAAAAATGACTTCAAAGTTTTCTGAGCATGAAAGTTCTCAGAGTAGAGGTAAAAACAAAGAAGAAAGATCTCATGATGTAGATTCTGAAAAGACACTAGATCGAGATTCCAAACACTCAGAAAAGAAACATAGTAGCCGAGAGAAAGGTCATGGATCTTCCGAGCAGGCAAGGAGATCTAGGAGAAGATGGGATGAACCTGATGCTGACAACAAAATTGAAGAAAGTTATTCTGAAAAAGTTGAGGGAAGAAGTTGCAAGGCTTCTGATTTGAAGTATGAGAGTCCAAGGGAGAAAAGTGTGCCATCAATAAATGAAGCCAGTGAGAGTAAGGGTCAGGGATCAGATTCATTCAATGACAAGAGTACAAAGTCTAACTACAAGGAGGATAAAAAACTTGATGCAGATAGAGGGAAGAGCAGAGGCAGGACAGAAGTGCAAGAAGAAGGTAGTAGGGCAAGTTCAGTTTCTCGTGAAGATAAATCAAGCCGAGACAAAACTGAGAAATATAGGCAGCAAAAAATTTCTACTAGTAGAGATGCTGCAAATGGTCGAGAGAAAGCACTCAGTTGTGATGATGATGGACGGACGTGGACCAGAGATAAAGGTGCAAGAGAAGTTGGAAATGTCGACAAGGCCAAAAGTCCTGACAGGCTGGAGAGGCATCAAGAATCAAACTACACAGATGTGGAGTATGAAAGAAGTTTTAACCACAAGCGGAAGGAACTAGAAAAAGAGGGTTACAGGGATGAAAGGCCAAAAGGCAGAGATGATAGTTGGAGTGATCGAAACAGAGATTGGGAAGGTAATGCTGACAATTGGAAAAGACGGCAACATGGAAACCAAGACAGTGATACAAAATCTGGGGATTATATGTACGATCATGGTAGGGAGTGGGAGCTTCCTAGACATGGCCGTGAGCGGATTGATAGTGAAAGGCCTCATGGTAGGTCTAATAATCGTAAAGATGGGAATAGGGGTGAAGCAGTGAAGACATCGTCAAACTTTGGCATTTTGAACGAGAATTATGATGTGATAGAGATCCAAACCAAACCTCTGGATTATGGAAGGGTGGAGTCTGGAAACTTTTCTAGGAGAACTGAAGCTTCCCAGCAATCTGATGGTAAGTTTGCACCTAGTGATGGTGAGTGGATGCATCAGCAGGAAGGAAGGGCAAGGAGGACTGATAACTATGTTCCAGGGCAATCTGATGGAGATTTGAAGGAGAGATATGCAGATGAAGGGGGGGCAACACAAGATCAGAATCCATGGAGGGATGACTTTGATTTCCATGGTGAGAAGGGAAGAGGCCAGAAAGGCGTAAATTCAGGTCGCATTGCTGGTGGTCAAAGTTCTAGCGGTGGTTCACAGCAACTATATGGCAATCAAGAGCCAGGGTCCTTCAACCGAGCTGGTCAGCAAGGAATGAAAGGGAATAGAGTAGGGAGAGGAGGCAGGGGAAGACCTGCCGGGAGAGAGAGTCAGCAGGGTGGAATTCCATTGCCAATGATGGGATCTCCTTTTGGACCTCTAGGAATTCCTCCACCAGGACCAATGCAGCCACTTACTCCTGGAATGTCACCTGGTCCAGGCCCACCAGTGTCTCCTGGTGTCTTTATCCCACCATTCTCCCCACCAGTTTGGCCTGGTGGTCGTGGTATTGATATGAATATGCTAGCTGTTCCACCAGGACCATCCGGACCTAGATTTCCTCCAAATATTGGGACACCACCTAATGCTGCCATGTATTTTAATCAATCAGGCTCTGGGAGAGGTGTTTCTTCAGGTGTAGCTGGGCCTGGTTTTAATGCTTCTGGACCAGTGGGGCGGGGTGCTCAACCTGATAAAAACCCTAGTGGTTGGGCTGCCCAGAAAGGTATTGGTCCTCCTGGCAAGGCGCCTTCAAGAGGAGAGCAGAACGATTACTCTCAAAATTTTGTTGACACAGGAATGCGACCACAGAATTTCATCCGGGAGCTTGAGCTCACAAATGTAGTGGAGGACTATCCCAAACTTAGAGAACTCATACAGAAAAAGGACGAAATTGTAGCCAATTCTGCCTCTCATCCTATGTATTACAAGTGTGATCTGAGAGACTTTGAACTTTCACCAGAATTCTTTGGAACCAAGTTTGATGTTATTCTCATTGATCCCCCATGGGAAGAATATGTTCATCGGGCTCCTGGTGTTGCCGATCACATGGAATATTGGACTTTTGAAGAAATTATGAATCTTAAAATTGAGGTAATTCTTATGTTAGAGATTTTACCAATAAAGCCTTCGGCATTAAAATAAGTTGGGACTGGAAACAATTTAGTCAGTTGACTTTTTCTTCAACTACATCACCATCATTTTCCCTTTTTTGTACAGTTTCTTTCTGTCAGTATCAAATCTTCTCAATTTTTTTTTTCAGGCAATAGCTGATACACCTTCTTTCATATTCCTATGGGTTGGCGATGGTGTTGGCCTTGAGCAGGGCCGTCAATGTCTTAAGAAGGTAAAAATGATTATGCCTCCTTATTAGAGAATATGAGTAGCACTTTACCAATGCTTAGGTTGTGGTATACATGCCTACTAAATTGTCTTCACCCATTTAAAAAATTTCCATTGAATGATTCATTTTGGTGGGTGCTTAGTGGGGATTTCGACGCTGTGAGGATATTTGTTGGGTGAAGACGAACAAAAATAATGCAACTCCAGGTTTACGACATGACTCCCACACTCTTTTCCAGCACTCCAAGGTCAGTCTAATTTTCCATTAAAAATTTCTGAGCAACCTTATTTAGATTTTGAGTCTTCTGCTGCACTGTTATGAGATCTATCCTTTTCACTCGTTTTTCTGCTGTCTCAATGAAGGAGCATTGTCTCATGGGCATTAAAGGAACTGTACGTCGCAGTACTGATGGACATATTATCCACGCAAACATTGATACTGACGTAATTATTGCCGAGGAACCTCCTTATGGTCAGCATCGTCTTTAGCTTCCATGCCCTTGCCTGTGTTTGCATATCTTTTGATATTTTTAGTATATATTTTCTTGGTGTGTATGCATTGAAGTCATTTTCGGTAACAAATATTGTAAACTTCGCAGAGTCCAACTTATGCCACCTGGTTTTTCTACTTCTTTCTAGCATTGATGTTTTTCATGAATGGATTAATGGACTGTGACCGTAGTTTTATGCTTAAAATATATCTCAGGTTCAACCCAGAAGCCCGAAGATATGTACCGGATAATTGAGCATTTTGCCCTTGGCCGCAGGAGGCTAGAGCTCTTTGGTGAGGACCATAATATTCGAGCGGGGTGGCTGACTGTCGGTAAGGAGCTGTCGTCATCAAACTTTCTTTCTGAGGTATGACAACAGGAAACTAAAATTTTCTGCGTACACAAAGTATCGCGGCAACTGTTTTGCTTATTGTTGACCTCTGAAAATTGTATTCACGAACATATGAAATCTGACATTTGCATGGAAAAAATAAATGTGATCTTCTTGTCAATACTACACATTTTCTGACTGGATTTGAACTTTTCTCGAACAACATTAGTAGCTCGTACAAAAATTAAGTGAAAGATTAAGAAAATGCCTTACTTGCCTCGTATATTTTTGTTGCTGTCACTTCCTCATTTTGTTGGCTGCTACCATCAGTTATTATTATTATTCATCTCTGAACTTGAATGTCACATGGTTCATATTCAGGCATATATCAAGAACTTTGCTGACAAAGATGGAAAAGTTTGGCTAGGTGGGGGAGGCCGAAATCCACCCCCAGAAGCATCTCATCTTGTTATGACGACCCCAGATATAGAGTTGCTTAGGCCAAAATCACCGATGAAAAACCAGCAACAAATGCAGCAGCAACAATCAGCAGCAGCTTTAACTGCAGCCAACTCGACTAACCGGAGGCCAATGGGGAACTCGCCACAGAATCCGACCGGTTTAGATGTTTCAAATCCCAACCCTATTACACTGCCCCCTTGGGGCTCACAAATGGAGGGTTTTAAAGGACGAGAAGGCAACAGTATTCCTCTAGGCGATAAAGCTTTTGATATGTATAGGTTGGGCGAGCAGCCAAGCGGAGAGTATGTTGATTTTGAATCTCATAGACAGATAAATATGTTGTAATATATATTGTTCCTTCATAACCTTTTCCTCATAAAAGAAAAGGTAGAAACGTTTTTATAGGCGTTGCCATTTCCATTACTTAACCTGTAGCTGTTATATTACTTAATTTTGTTATTGATTCATTGCTTTAAAGAAGGTTGAAAGAAAGTGATTCAATCTTGTTATTGAAGGTTCTACTCTTGCTGTCTCAACTATCTTATGAACTTAAAAAAACCATTTTAATTCATGATGGAAGTTTTGAGATGTCAATTTGAGTCCTAAGGAAAATAACTATTTTTATCTTCAAACATATTATAATGGCGTAACCGCAGTTTCATTCCTACATCTTTTTAATTTTCACACCTTTATAAATAATATTTCGTTTTCGGTCTCGTTCTCCTTCTCAATAGATGTGAGATTTCCCAGATATTCTCTCCTAAAATCTTTATCTAATGTATATCTTTATACATTTTTACGAGATTAAATAGATATTTTAAAAATTAGGGGACTAAAATATAATAATTCTAAAAATTGAGAATAAATAAAAGCCACCGAAAAGCTCGAGAAATCTCGGAGAAAGGAAAAAAAAGAAAAATATAGCTGTTTTATTTATTTATTTAATTTTATTACTATAATAATAATATATATATATTTTTTTGTTTTAAGTTCAGTAATTTTTTTAAGAGCTCGGCTTGGGTTCAGGGTAACGGTAATTTTATTTTACCTTTTATTTTTTTAGAAGGAGCGGTAATAAAATAATACGAGGGATATAATGGGATTTCTCGGCGAGTGGAGATTCTTATAATAAACCCTAGTGCAAATTTGACCAACTGGTTTGCCTTCTTGGGTTTAAGGTTTTTGAGCGCCTAAACAAAACTACCGCCATCGCTACACCCGCCACTCCGGCAGGCCTTCGACACAGAAACCTCTCTTTACGGTAGCGGGATTTGCATCGCTCCCGGACTTTGGAGTTCTCCAGGGTCATCTCTCGCACTTCATTCACCAATGGCTTCATCCATCGCTTCGCAGTTGCAAGCTATCAAATCCTTTGTCCAGGCCGACTCAGAGCCGCTCAAAAGGCCTTTCACTCGACCTTCGATTCTTTTTGACCCCAAAGAAGCAGCTGACATTGATGTCGATACTATATTCGGCATTGCCTTACAAGGTCAGTCTTGAACGGGCTTCCTCAACAAGTTTATCCCATTCTATACTCGGATGAATGTTAACTAGTTTGCTCAGTTATCTTTTTTTTTTTTCTCTGATCCTTTTACTCTGAGATATAAATGATTGTAACTATTCTCCAATGAACTTAGCCGGATTAGGTTCCGAGGCTTAAGCTTATTGAGTGATTTGCTTGCGTAACTACTAGTTTTTTATTTTGCAGCGGAGGGTCTCAATATTCTCATTAGCTAAAGTGCTTTTTTGATTGATCTTCAGGGCTGGAGGTTCTTATTAGCATGGATGAACGTTTCAGAAATTATAAGAACAATTTATTTAGCTATAAAAGTAGAGAGCAGGATAGAGAGTTGATGGGTGAAGAGGAAAACAAACGTATTAACGCTACAATTAGTTCGTACCTGAGACTGATTTCGGGGCACTTTCAACAACCTTCCTCACTTAAGACTTTAGAGTACTTGATTCGCAGATACAAGTAAGTATTCTTCAATTAATCTCCCAAGTGACAGGATCAAACCCTCTTGAGACGTTGCCTCTTTCTCTTAGTCGATATCTTCTTACGCTTTACAAGGTAATCATTTTTTTTTTCAGGATTCACGTGCATAATGTCGAGGACTTAGTTCTTTGTGCCTTGCCATTCCACGACACTCATGCTTTTGTTCGATTAGCGCAGCTGCTTGTTTTGGGGTATGAAATTCTCTTCTAATTTGTTTCAGCTCTGCGACTGCGGACTTCATGAAGATTTTTAATCTTTTTCTTATCTGTGTTTTAGGAATAGTAAATGGAAATTTCTGGAAGGTGTGAAATTGTCGGGTGCCCCACCACCAAGGAAGGTTATAGTGCAACAATGTGTCCGTGATCGTGGTGTTTTGGAAGTTTTATGCAATTATGTGAGTTATTATTATTTTTCTTTATCCATCTAGTATTCTTAACGTTTATTTTAAGAGTATATTTTTTTTCTTACGTCTAGTCACGATTCCAGTCATAAATGACTATGCTATTTCTATTATAGGCTATTCCATCTAAGAACTTCCATCCAGCGAGGCCAGTTGTCAATTTCTGCACTGCAGTTGTTATAGAAGTTTTGGGTACTCTTACAAGCATTGAGCCCAATGTGTTAAACATTGTTCTTTTGTTTATTAGAACTGGGCTTCATCCTGGCACCAAGGGAATTACTGATCAGAAGGTAAGTTAGTAAGGCATATTGATTTCTATAAGTTATTTATTTATTCATTTCCCTGATAAAATGTACAAAAAGTAGAGCACAAGCCTCTAAGAACCACACTTAACGTATTAAAGAAATACTCCCCAATACCCAGATTAATCAGAGAAATTGTTCCTTAATAGTTATTTACAAAATTCTTTGGTAAGATTTAGAAGCTTAAATCTTGCTATGAGAAATTGTTCCACTGATTTTGGTCTTGTAATTGGGTTTCCAAGTATCTTCACAGAAAATGCTTGGCAATTTGAAGGAATGATCTGTTTTCCACTTACGCTTGAAGGAGTGACCACAAATTGCTTTATGGTTGCTTTGTTACTTTAATTAGATGTTGTCGTAAAAAATTGTCTGTATCAAATTATTATTATGCAATCCTTCCGTTGAAGAAATATTGGTGTCCATTAATAGTTCCATAATTAGGGTTACCAAAGGTGGGTGAAGAGATTTATGGTTTTAGTTAGAGCGGAAGTTTGAGTACTCATTATGTCGGTTGGAGTCTTGTGGCACTAATATCTTTGATACCAAAGTGACTAGCATCTCAAGCTTTTTGTTTTGGATTTGTTTTAATTTTTTTGTGCCTAAATCTGCAAGCCTTAAATGTTTTAAGTTATAATCATTGCATTCACTTTGTATTTTCTTTCGTCCTAAATTATTGGCATGTTGTGAATCTTATAAGCATTTCTGGTTGATTAATTGCACTTCTGTCACGTTTTTCCATGTTACATCTCTTAAGTTGGTTGTATTTATATAACTATATATTGTGCCTCTGTTCCTTTAAATACAGGCTGGTGCTTTGATGATTGTTGGTTTGCTAGCCAACAAAGCCATATTGGTACCTAAGCTAGCTAAGAGTTTGATTCGATCCATCTCTGAGATTGCCAATGAGGATGCGAGGGAGTCAAGTGATATGCAATCAGTTCGACTCTCACTTATGGCTTTAATCACCCTTGCTCAGGTATTATTTTGGTGAAAAGGCGATCTAAATTATCTTCTGATTTGCATAGTTCATTCTAAGCTTTATTTTAAATGGAAGAGAGAACTTTAAGGTTTTTTCTTATCATAAGAGGTAAGGCCCAAACCATATCAGATGTGAGAATATTTAATACCACGGCTCTTCTTAGCGTTTTTCTTTTGCCATTTGTATATCATCACCCCATCATGCATCATGAATGTATCATCGTTAGAAAAGAGGTCCAATGTATAAGCAGTGTTCTAATAATTATTCTCTCTAAATCTTTTTTATTTTTTAACTTTACTATTTTATAGTTTTTCAAGAATTGAAGCCTTTTCTTGTGAGCTCTCTAGTGCTAGGTTTTTTTGACTTAATTTGGACGTATTTTTTAATGTCAACTCTTGGAACTAACCTCTTTAATTTTTTTTCTAAATCAATGATTAATTTAAAAACCAATTGAGGTTTAAGCAGGTTGATTGAACTTGTTTTGGATCAAATGATCTCATAGCTTCTTGGCCTAGAGGGTGGTGAATTTCAGTCGAACTCTTTGGTTATGGGTTCGAGGTCTAGCAGGTGAAGGAGATGAGAGAAGAAGATTCAACTTATTTTTGGAAAAAGTTTGCCGAAATATCCTATTGTTTGAGAATAATTGTGAACTGATGCTGATTTTTTTTCCATGATTAGCTGACCAAACCAAATAAATGAACGAAAAACTAACCAAACCAATTGAATTGACAAGAATTGACCAAACATGCTTAAGTTTTAATTTTCCTATAGATTTTGGTTTGTTCTGAACTTATCTTTTCTATCTATTTTTCAGTCCCAATCAGTTGACATGTTTCCAAGAAAGGTATTGGATATCTTGATGGGGATTAGGTAATATATATTACTTGCTGAATTTCAATTCCTGTTGCTTCTTGTTTTGGTATATATTTGACTTTTGTTTTTTTTTATGATCATTTTCTACTCATATTTTACGTTGTCTTCTTTCTCTTGTATTTTAATGTGAAGGGATTTAGCTGGCATTCTTTTGGAACTATCCAGAGCTTTCAACATCGATAAATTCCTCTCCATCCTTATGGATTCCTTAGTTGAATATAGGTGGGACTGAGATTTTTCATTTGTCAGCATCTGATGTTGTGGATGGTTTAACATCGAGTTATTTGTTGTCTGTAGTTTCTCTAGTGACTTGTGTCAACGTGGTTTGATCTCACTAATTGAGACTATTCCGATGATGCATTTAATGCATAATATCATTACCAAGGTTTTAGTGAGCTGCTCTAAATTTTCCGAGAAGAGTAACACCCCAAGCTCTTCTAATCCAGGTATATGTTGAAACTTGTTATTTAGTGCGAATTCTTCTCGTTTTTCCTATTTTTTTAGTGTGCTTGTTCTTGTTATTTGTTGTTTATTTTAATTTTTGTTGGCTTCAAAATCATGTATTTTTTTTTGGGTTAGTGCACAAAATATTTTGGCATAGGATTTGGTTATATAACCTTGAGAGGAAGAAGGATTCTTCATGAAGGGAAATTTCTCCGCAAAGTTTCCATTATGATGCTTAGTGGGAAATAAACTACAGTAGTGATATGCATTATCATTATTTTTTTTATAAGAAACAATTAAGGACTATACTCATCCTCAAAGGAGGACAACCTATGGGCAGGGTGGTAAAACCCTTTCCTAAGAGGGACATTCACAAGAAGAATGTAGCGATATTATTATGAACTAAGTTACCTGACATTTTTCATACTTGTGAGTTTAGCTTGATTCTCTTAAATTGGAGTGATTTTTTGTGGCTAGTGATGTACTCATTTTTGTGGATTTTTTAAAATGCCTTCGTACATCATTTCATTTTTCTCCTTGAATTTCTTACAAAAAAAAAAAAAAAAAAAAA